TTAATCACAAACAATAGCAGATGTTTTTTAAAACAGAAACAGGTATCACATAGTTTCTTTTGACAAAGAAATTATGAATTTCCACTTGCTCCAAGCTACGTCACAAGAGTTCAGCTGTGTTCAAGAGCCAAAAGAAGAGTCAAAAAGGCTTGTGTGAACAGGATAGGATTACAGGTAGTTAGAGCAGCTTCCCTTTGTGTCGAGAAATTCCCCCATTTTCTATTATGACTGTCAGTTGATGCAAAGAAATACAATCAGTATCAATAAATAAATGTGTCAGTTGAAACAGTACATGGTGATAAACATGTAGTGGGAGGCATATATTAAAATAACTTGGATTCATTACAGAACATGGCACACTAAGTGTTAAGACCCAACTCCATGTTCCCGTCGCTACCACTGTTCCACATTGTCCATGTAGTCCTCCATGGTGCTATTCTCATCCAGATCCCACCATTCTGGGAGGAGCACCTCTGACTCTATGTTGTCTTCAACAGCCATCTCCCTCTGCTGCTCCTCAGTTACTACAGAGTGGCTGTCAGGCTGATGGGTGGTGTCTGTGGGCTTCAGCTGCCTCCCTTGCTTTGCGAGCCTTCCACGGAGCCGCCTCCTCTCCTGCTGACGCCTTTGTCTGGCCTGCCTGCGCTCCTGCTGCCTCGCCACCTGGAAACGCTGCAGGAAAAGGTCACGGCCGTACTCGTACAGCTCCACATCCCATCGGTTGAGTTGGCGGATTCTGTGCTGCGTCTCAGAAGGAACGTCAACCGTGGACGCGCGCGTGCCGTTGAGCTGCGTGAATGGTGCGATGAACTCCAAGTTGAAGGTTCGCTCGAACAGGTACTGGGTCTTACGCTGGTACTCGGTCAGCCCAAAGAAGGCCATGCCCCGTAGGTTACGTTTAGCACTCTGCAGCAGCACTGCCCATCGCTCTTCCTCACTCATGGCAGAGACGTTGTAGCACCCCACCAGGCTGAGGTCAGCCAGCATGCGGGTCTGTCGATTGTTGGCGAGGTTGTAGGGGCAGTCCATAAACTCCTGCAGGGAGCAACCCGACCAGTCGTCTCCGGAGTAGCAGCTAGGCAGCTCAGACAACGTCGGTGAACGTCCTTCACATACATGTAAGGAGGCTTTCCACGTGGCACCTCGCTGCACATGACGCCACTCACTCAAGTAGCGTGATACTGGGTCTCTTAGGATGGTTATATAATAATAGTTTCTCCTAGAAAGAGAAAATGACATTAGATATACAATAAGCAAATTTAAACTGCCTTATTCTGATTTGACAAAAAGCCGTCCTGCAATAATGTAAAAGCTTAGCTACTAAATAAGTATTTATTGATCTATCTGTACATATTTAAAGATCACATTAAGACCTCTTCCTTGTGGTATTTTAAGTTCCTCCAAGGATCAAATTCACACTTAAGATACGAGTGAAAGCGTCATCAAATGAACAAATATAACATCTGCAGACTGGTCTCGTATTTATTGTGTAAAGACACAAACTAAGAGTATCTTGCCAAATGTTTCATTGCTGTGTCGCTTGCAGTGATTGAGAGAATCTGAGAAATGTGAAGTGATGGTGTTCCTCTCCGCCTTCACTAACCTGAGCAGGTTCTGTGGAACCTCTTTTGTGTCCATGCGTGACGGGACACACTTGGTGAGCTCGGTCCAGTCCGCATGGAGCCCGCAGCTCCAGCCGGTGGAGAAGCGGGAGAAGAGCCAGGTTTCTTTTTTACCTGGCCGGTAACAGGTGCACTTCTTCTGGCCTGCGTGGCACTCGCACGGCCTCTCCAGCTGAATATTCCGCACTAAGTGCCGACCAAAGGTGGTGCCCCCAGTTTTCTGAATGTGCAGAAACACTATAACGTCATCCCCTTTGATGTTAAAGTCTACAACGCGGTTTAAATCAGCTTTGGTGAAGTTGAACCGAGGGACAAAGCGAACCAGGGCGCCGTCTTCTGCGATGTACGGATCCTTCTGAGGCCCATCTTGAGCTCCATTACCTGTGCTCCGGGAACCAGATGCACCGCCGACTTTCAGCCAGGACCCCAGCTGGTGCAGCATGCGGCACTCCGACCTGCTCGGGCACACGTACTGGACCATAATGACGCTAAAGAGCAACGACATGAGCAGGACGATCAGGAGCCGGTGATGGCTGCCGCTGGATTTCTCATCCATCTTCCCGGGAGGAACAGAAACACATCCCTCAGGCAGTCCGGACCCCTGCCTCGGCCGGAGAACCTCGAGGGGGGAGTAGCGTTTATATGGCCGCCGCCAAACAAGCGAAAACAATAACAATGCAGCAGCTAGCCGGCTAACGTTAGCTAGCCAGACTGAAGGAGGCTGAGCAGCAGGAAAACGGGGCGATAGCGTGGAGCAGGTTCTTCTGTGTCATGGAAAACCACCCGTGCGGCTCTCATCTCAAACCACAGGCTCGTTGTTCCCTTTATTGTTCGTTAGATCATCTTTGCAGCAGCCGCAGGTCCGTGCGTTCAACAGCCTGCGATTCTTGACCTTTTCTTCCCAGCAGCCCCTGCGCTGGATGTGGGAGTGAAGTTACGTCACCACGGAAGTAACGTGCTGCCGAGACGACCAGAGTGTTGCGATCTGCAGGAAACTCGCTTTACTTCAGAACCACATGTTTCTGTTCCTGGAGCAACATTGATTGGAAGAAGGTTCGGTCCACGCCACAAAGACCATTCTCACTAATAACGGTGATCAAGTTGAAAAGAATAGTTCGCCCCAAAAATGAAAATTCACTCCCTCTACTCACCACTATGTCGATGGAGGGGTGCGTGAAGTGTTTGAGTGCACAAAACACTTCCGGAGTCTCAGGAGTAAACAGTGTTGCAGTCAAATCTAAACAATGGAAGTAGATGGGGACCGATTATTAAAAACCAAAAAAAAGGTACAGAAAAAAATAAAATGTTAAACCTCCTCTGGAGCCACATTCGCCCGTGGATCACAGTCACGAGAACACAGAGTTAACATATCACTTTTTATACCTCGTTTAACTTGCACTGCTAATACTTTTATCTATATATGTTCTATTTAGTGATATGTTATGGTAAGTTACGTAATGTCTTGTCTGTATACTGTATATTACTTAGCTCCAAGTAATGTTTATCTGTTGTTTATCTGTTGTGCCTGTGCACTTTATATGTTTCACTGTGGGGAGAGTGGGAAACGTTCTTTCGACTGCTTTGTATGTTTACATGTGAAATAGTTGTCAATAAAGCTACTTTGACTTTGACTTAAACTAGCAGTCGCCCAGAGCTATACCATCGTTGATAAACCTAGTAATCACGTAATAATATGTACTTATCTATAATGTTTGCATGTGAGGCTAAATGATGTCACCGCCGAAATAGCTCAGTTGGGAGAGCGTTAGACTGAAGATCTAAAGGTCCCTGGTTCGATCCCGGGTTTCGGCATTTTGTCAAACGGGGAGAACTCAGTAAAAATAAATCTGTACACATCTGATGTTCATACAGCACATAATTTTTTCCCAGTGTTTTTATTATTTTATACTCTCCCCTGTTTTTAATTTGTTGTATTTATTCGTATGCACAAACACTCCAGAGAAAATGCCCTGTATTTGTAAATGTTATAAAACTTGACTGATTCTTCACAGAAGTGGGGATTTTCCTTGTTTTATATATCTTTTCTGACCGGTGTGTCTCTTGATTTAATTTATTTTAGTTTGATTTACTTTCTGACAAAAGTCTTTTTCTCTACATATTTTGAGCTGCTGTATTTAGATATGTGCCAGAGCTTCACTTGTTGACTTTGGTGTGTCAGTAGGGTGGGGGGTTAGTGGGTGGACAACAATGTTTTTCCAACAGAGAGGAATTCCACCCCCAACTCCAGCCCACATGAGTCACGACCAAACTGTGGCATCCAAAGTGCCCCCCCCCCGCACTGGGCCAATGTAAAAGACATTGTAAATATGCTGATCTCATCAGTCCTGGCCTTTGTTTTAGCTGCAGTGTATTCGACTCATTTGGTGACGCAGTAAAATGTTGCTCTGGTAAAATGCAACATCAACACAAGCAGCAAGCAACAAAAATCCAACTGATGAGGTCACAACTTAAATGTGAAAGTTAACAATTTGTGGTTGTAGTTGTATCCAAAAGCTGGTTTACTTTAAAGTTTATTCATTAAGATAATAAATACTACTCGTAATACTACAACTACTACTCATAATAATGTTCCTGTGTTGAGTGCTGATTGTGCTGATCACTGATCAGACCCTCACATTAGTCATTAGTGTGTCAGTCTGCAGGAGGATTTCAAGAAACCAGGTCAACTGCTGAAAACAGACAAGAGGTCACCGTCATACGTCACAGATGGGGGAATTTGTAGTCCTAACGATCGTTGGTGTGAACAGATGTATCACTCTGGTCCACAATCCCCACTCGGTCTACAAAAGGAAGCGGTCCTGCTCCCATGACTGAACAACGTTGTTTACTGCCAGATATACTAATGCATCATAGAATATATTTGGATGATACTTTTTAATGACAGGAGTGGAAAGTGACAGCAGTATATTTACTTAAAATAGTACTGCACATAAATACAGTATTAGGTGCATGTACTTGACTGGAGTATGTCTGTTTTCTGATACTGAAAGTCTGAAACACAGTACTTTAATGTATTTCATATTCTTATTATTTGGTTGCATTGCAAATTCAAATTCTAATTAAAATTGGGATTAATATATACATGATCTAGATAGTTTCATCCTAGTGCTTAGAGTATTTGCAATAAACTGTGTATTATAACTTATACTAGAATAACATATGTACTTTCCCACCACTGATTAATAATCTGAATCCTGTAAAGTAAGAGTATAATTGAGCTAAAATTGAAGATATTCATGTGAAGCAATAACGACCAGTATCCTGTTGTCAGTGGTTCAACTCTCTATCTGCTGCTAATGAGACGTTTTATTGTTGTGTAACGATGACGACAATGATGACGACAATGATGACGACTGCTCTTCTTTCTTCCTGGTTCCTGGAGAATGTGGCGGAGTGATACGTCTGTCGGTGTCCGCTGCTCGTGCGTTGTGCTGGAATGCGGAGGGTCGGGTGGGTCCCACACTTCAGGCTGTAAATACCCGAGAGCACGGTGAACCGTCACTCGGGACACAGACGGGGGGCTGTTGGCTTCAATCGTGAATTCTCCGCCGGTTCTGTTGTTTTGTGGTTTTGTTTACGGGGAGCATGGAGCTGGACCGGCGGCTGCTGCTGGCCCACTGCACGGTCCACGCCCTGTCGATCGCGGCGGGGCTGCTGGTGGTCGTGCCCATGGCTCTCAACGGATCCGCTTTCAAAGGCCGCTGCGCCCTCTTCTCCACCGGCTACTGGAGGACCGAGAGTCGGGCCGAGGCGCCGGAGCAGCCGGGAGACGTCTCCCAGCTGGTGGTGCAGCAGTGGGGGCCGCTCGCCGCCTGCCAGTTCGCCACTTTCGTGGGTATCTTCTCGGTGCTGTACGGGGCAGCGCAGGGCTGGAGGTGTCTCTTCTACCTGCATGGACGACATGACGAGTGAGTCCACTGACACAAGAGTACACACACAGCTGAGTACATCTACTGAAGTACTGGGTTTAAATACACTTATATCACTGCTTCCATGTTATATAACTGCATACTCCACTAGGTTTATAAGGAAATGATGTACATCTTACAATATTACATAACGTGTATTCACTGGTTACTTTCACAGTGATAGTAAGTAAAAAGTAATAACACATTATCAAAGATGAATGCAGTGTATTTGAGCTTGTGTCTGTTTGAGGACATTTTTGTCACAACTTTAAGACAAAAAGCTCCACCACAATTCAATTCCATCATGTTGTTTTAGTTGATTATCAGTCATAGAGTTAAAGTAATTCAGTATTTCAGAAATTAATCAAGCTAAGACGATAATTGATTATTATTTGAAATTGTTTGTCATCACCATTCCTAAGTTTTATCTCATTTCACCTCTGACTCCTTAAACCAGGGATGCTCCTTCTGTATTTGTTTGTTTTCAGAGCAGAGAAACTGATCAACAGGCTAACTGATGATGGAAATAATCATCGTTATTTATTGCAAAGTATGCGCAGTATGTGTAATGTCTGTCCTGTTCTGTTTCTGCTCAGCACCCTGTTTTCATCATTCCTGACTGTTCTGCTGAGTGTGTGCGTTCTCTTCCTGTCTGGAGGGGCCAGTGTCCTCTTGTCTCTGGGTCTGGTCTCGTGGTGCGACACTGTGACTGACAACAACACACGACCATACAGGTAAGAAGTCTTTTTGTGGAAATTTCTGCCTATATCTAATAACTAAATGGTCATTTTTGCATGATGCATTTAATTGTTTAATTGTTGTTTTTATGCCTTTATGCCAGTGGCTGGAGGCATTATGTTTTTGGGTTGGCCCTCCATTTGTATGAACGTCACATACCCGTGAACACAATATCTCAAGAATGTCTTGAGGGAATTTCTTCAAATTTGTGACAAATATTCATTTGGACTAAAGGATTCACAAAATATGTTAATGTTTTTCTTGAGTGACCTCATATGAATGGGAAACTGCACTGGTTGGCAGAGGCATACAATTGCAGTCTGGTAATTAGTTTGGTTTGCAACACATGTCTAGTTTCATACAGTTGTGTGACAAGTTATTATATATTAACACAAATCTATATGTAATTAAGAAATACTCCAGGGCTAAAACTAACAATTACTTTTTTTGTTGATCAATTATTTTCATTTGATGAATAATGTGTCAGAAAACCTTGAAAATATAAATCCAAATTCCCTAAAGTGACTTTTTTATTAAACAATCAGCCCAAAACACAAACATATTGAGTTACCTCTGGTAGAAGACTGATACAGACAAATAGTCCCTTTGTATTTTCAGCTGTTTATCCTGTTGATATTTATCACCATGCTGTGGAAACTGTGAATTTTTTCTCATCCTCTCATGTTTGCTTGTGTTTAGCTGTGCAGAGTCCCAGTCTGTTCCAATGTATCTGGATGTGGACACCTCCTCTTTCTACACAGAGCTCAATCTGGCTCAGGTACGAGCGTTAACAGCAGCACACAAACACAGTCAATGTCTCATTCTCTTTTGTAGTTGCCACGACCAGACTATGTATTTGTGATGTTTTCTGTTGTATATAGATCTAAAATTATAAGACATGAGCTTTTCCATCTTTATATCATTATTTAATTTATTTTACTTTTATAGTATTTGACAGGTCATTACCTATTCTGGCTTTTCTATGTACATCCGTTTTAACAAAAGCAATGTAATGTTAGTGGTTACAAACCTTGTGTCTGTTTTTCAACCTGCTATTTCCCTCACACACAGTCTGATAATCAGACTAAACCAAACCAGCAAAACTACATCTGATCAGAACAAAGCACACCTATGTGAAATCTCTGGAAATATCTTTAGGCACTTGTGGCTATTCAGGACATATTGAAGCTTCTTTTTTAAGACTGACCCTGTGCCCTCAGGCTTCTCTGTGGGGTGTGACGTCTCTGTGGCTGGCTCAGTCTATCCTGGCTTTCCTGCGGCTCTACCACTCCCACAGCCAGAACATCAGTGGACCGTGTCTTCACCGAGAGAAGGAACTCCTCCTGGGATACAGTCCATCTGAAAGTGGCAGCTCCCCCTCACCTCCCTATGCCCCAGCGACACCCACCATCTTAGTCTGACTCAGAGTAAATGAAGTAGTGCTCTAAGGTGTTACCCTTAACCCCACTATCTAAATTCATACAGTTCTTCACAGCATGTAGGTTATGAATATTTTGAGTACGGCTTGGTTCATAATGTTTAAGGTTTCTTTATGTTTCTATATAATTTAGCATAGAGCCCCCAGTAAAATAATACTGGAGTATAAATCAGCTGAAACATTATGGTACACGTTTATGTTTCCCCTGCAGGTCAAAATACTTTGATAACCAAATTTAACGGATCTTTAAACTAAATGTTTTGTATGGTGTTTGTTTGCGACAAATTATTAATTTGTCGTTGGCTGATTTAAAAGAAAATCTGTTAAATTGATTTTGGTACCACCCACAGTAAAAAATACAAGATCCTCCAGGCTTTATTATATAATCATATGATGTTTGAGCAGGGCCAACACCACTCACATAACTGCACTGTCTAACTCAAGCACCCATCACCTCATAATGACTCTTAGGGTGGATTCACGTCACTGATGACACCATTAACAATATTTTTTTCAGTATACTCAGGATGCATGGTTGTTTACAGTTCTGCTTGAGTCAGTTTGCACAGTTGGATCCTCATCAGGGAGAATACGTTCTTGTTTTGTTGTTTTTGTTTTGTTTACTTGTTCCAAGTGTATAGTTCAGATGTAGCACTGAGGCGCTTTTATTTTGAAGCATGTGGTAAGAATGTGACTGAGCCACTGTGTACGTGAAACAGGCTCACTGTGTGAGCATGACCTCAATGTTCTGTTGTGTAACAGAAAAATGGCTGCCGACTCTCTCCTCTTGTGAAGATTTCTATTATGATGCTGTTTGTGTGGACACGGCCGCTCTCAGTTAAAGAATCAGCCAAATCTCCTCTAGGGATTTTCAGTGAAGTCTGTCAAGGATGATTACAAATTTAACTTTCAAGGATCTGAGAGAATTTCCTCGAGACAGAGATTTGTGTTGAGCCCAAAGGCTCAGTGAAGAAACTAAAATGCTGAATTTTTATAAAGAAATTATTCTTAGCTGTTTTAAAATTTCTCTCTCTTTGACTGAAGTGGTTGTAATGAAACACAGACAGCGGAGCAAGAAATCTGAAGTACACAGAGACGAGACAGCGTTGTGACTTGAAATCAAATGTAACCTTTTGAATTATAACTGACGATGGTCTCGCGTTTTACCTCTTGTACCTGTTTGTGCTTATTCATATTCATGTTTTTTGCACTTGTCTTGTTTACTGATTAAAACGCTTCTCAGTATGAAAGAATGTTGTCTTAACTGAAATCAAATGTCAGAAAATTGTGAAAAAGTAAAGCTCCCAAAGTCTAAGGTGACATTGTTATAATATAAATAACAGTAAAAAAAGAAAATATACACCTGTTACATCTGTTCGACTAATCACAAGTCAGTATCAGCTGTCAACCATGAGGTTATTCCCTGTTTTTAAATGATCAAATAACTAAAACCAAACTTACCTTACTTTGACATTTTAGTTTAGTCCATGTCCCATCTCTTAACATGGAGGAGGCATGATTTATGACCAATACAGTATCTTTTTTTACAATAGAAATATGTCTAAATATACTTTGCCTCAAGAACTACGGACGCGCATCACCAAACTTCCGGTAAAGTATCCCTTCTCGTCGCTGGGGGCAGTGTAGAGCCCTACGAGTGTTTAATGCTACAGTAGTGACAAGAGCGAGGAAGCAAAGAGCCAATCACAAACTAGGGCACCATATTGAATTGTTTTGATCCAGACCTCTGCTTCTTACTTCTGTTGACTTGTGGGTTTGGTTGTGTTCTTAATAAAAGCAGCCACAGTTTAAATAAGACAACAGCGGAAACTGACCTCACAAGGAGACAATGAAGCTGACGGAAATCAAAAAGTTAAAGGTGGCGGAGCTGCGGTCCAGACTGAGAGAAGTTGGGTTGGACGGCAGAGGACTGAAGGCTGAGCTGGTGGTCAGGCTGTGGTCTGCTTTGGACTCGGGACTCAGCCCGAGAGGCGAGGAGACTCTGGTGAAACCACAACATGACGACTCACCGACACCAGCAGCGCCGACAGACGCAGCGGAGGTCCCCGCTCCGTCCTCCTCGCCGCCGGCTGCAGAAGCGTGTATCACCGCGCCATGTTGTCCGGACAGCACCAGAGAGTTTACGGACAGCGGGACGCAGACTGAGCCCGAGGCCGGAGTGGCTGCACCACAACACGGCTCAGAGTTTGTGTCGGAGCCCGCGAGGAGGAACCAGGCTGAGGGAGGAGAGGTGGAGGGTCCCGGGGAGGAGAGGAGAGATCCGTCCTCTGAGGAGACGAACAGAGGGAGAGCTTTCTACGAGTTTAAAGAGGAGATACGATACAAAAGGTATTTATACACACACACAGAAATGATTCCAGAAATAATGTCAGTGCAGTGTCAGTCAGTGATTAAAGTCAAGTATTAAAATAACTAAGTGCAATCCTATGAACACCATTTACTATTAAAAGGCCTCACTAATCCTCTTGTAAGCAAGTTTTCTAAGCATCTTGGAGAACTTGTCTTCTGTCTCTTCATATAAACCCAGGCTGACTCCATGCTGTAGAGACCCTGTGGGGGGTAA